CAAACTAAACTCACATTGACTCAAACATTTTAGTTTCAGCAAAGATGCCAAAAAGTCCAGTGGGGCTGGAAAATAAAATGAACTTTGCCCCTACCTCACACCATGCAAAGCATTGTTCTGGAGCACAGACCTAACTTGAAAGCCAAACTGACAAAGCTGCTGGCAGGAAACAAGGATGAGCTTTGTGCTTTGGGCTAAGACAGATTTTTGTAGACTATGGGAAGCGATGAGGATCAAAATAAAGAAAACTAGTCCTTGGCAAAACCTAGTGCCACAATTTGCTAGTAAGGTGACTTTAGGCAATTTGTTAGCCCTTTCTGTGCCTCAGCTTCCTTTCTGCAAAGTGAATGTAATAGTAAAATGATGATATCCACCTCTGAGCATGGCTGAGAGACTTAAATATATTAGTAGTATATAAGTAAGATACTTTAGGTGGTACCCAGCCTGTAACAAGAATTCAGTAAACTCTATCCAGGTACTGTGTTCATCTTTGAGGCTCTTCTTTATGGCCTTGTCTAGAAGTGTGTTCTTTTGGTGCTTAGTTTTCTCTGCATGATATTTTAGTTCGCAGAGTTTACTGATCATTGAAATTAAAATCCTGAAGGGTGTAGATAATGAAGAAGTCACAGTATCCTAAAAATCAAATTGCATACCTGACACCTCTGTGCTCTGAAACACATACCATGATGTAGTGTTCTGTACGCCACCTATCCCTGCATGTGTTGACTCAATTTCTTCTGCCCAGTGTGGCCACTGTAGAGTTAGTATATTTGTCAGCCACTGAGTAGTTTAATGTATTGGTAGAGGAGCAGAGGAAACAAATTTAAAGTCATCAAAATTTTGTAAAGTACTGGTGATCTGAAAATTATTGCTGTCGAATTCTTGAATGCCACAAAACCACAGATTATAATCTCCGTCTGTGTTCCTGCGTTAAAAGATGTGTTCTTTTTCCAAGCCTGCAATTCTGTGTTCTTGTTGAGGAAACACGTGCAAGCAATATTTCCGCAAGCCTAGTAAATGATATATTTTAGGGAAGTTTGCCTCGCTAAGGTCCCTTTTCTAATTGCAGGTCTCATAACAAAGCATTCTCCTCTCAATTGCAGATGACACTGCCCAAGTTACCTCTGATTATGAAACCAACAACAACAGTGATAGCAGTGACATCCTACAGAATGAAGATGAAGCGGAGTGTTCCAGAGAGTCACTGAGGAAGACATTGGCTTGTGGCACCTACGGTCCTGAAGCCATGATATTCCTGGTAGCCCCTTGTCCCTTAGCTCATTATTTACTTGAGCAGTCACCTTTTATTTATTGCAGAGTTTGGTTTAGAAAGAGACCTCATGTCATTGTGTTTGTACATGTATTTCACTTAGATCTTGCGTGAACGTGGCCCTACCCATGTGAATTGGTACGATTTGTGCTTTCTCCAAACCTTATAGATCTCATTGTGGTTATATTATTTGGGTACAAAATGGATAAGTAGGTATCTTTATAAATGATGACAGCTATTTCGTAGCCTGATCAAAAAGCATAAATATGCATAGGAAAATGATTGATGTAGTGCAATTCAATAAAATTTCAAAAAGAGGGGAGAAAAGAAAAAGAAAGGTGTTTTTTTTTTTGTTTTTTTTTTTCCTTTTTTTCAGGGCATTTGCTGCTAATTTTTTCTCCTTCAGGACTTTCTTGATTTACAAAGGGAGCCAATATTTATTTTCTTCATTATAATAAATCAAGTTTATGTTGACATGGCTACATAATAAAGATTCTTTACTTATTTTTTGATATTTAAGGATATCCATCTAGAAAGAATGGAATACATTTTTGAGTCAAGGTAATTTGGGGAAGGCAACAAATATTAGAAAATAGTTGACCATTTTATGGTCATTAACTGCTACCATTATCATTTGTCCTTCACCATATTTATTACTTTAAATCAATTTTTCAGGTGAAAGAATGTACATTTGTCTTCACTACCTTTCTTTTTGCTTTTATTGGCTGTGGCTGCATTCTTGTTTGTTGGTTGGTTGGTTGGTTGGTTTTTTTGACGGCTCAGCTTGCCCTGAGGGCAGGGCAGGCCTGGCATGTGGTGCTAGGGATCAAACCATGGTCCTCTGTGTCTGCCTAAACTTGCCTAAGCAGGCGCTTTAGACTGCTGAGCTATCTTGCCAGCCCTGACTGTGGTGTATTCTTAGGACTGTCCCGATTTAGGACTAGTTGAAAAATATCTGTGTATTTAGTTAATACATGCTTCTCAATAAACATTATGTTCCATGAATGAAATTCAAGTCCTGAAAAATGTGACAGCTCATGTGTCCCATTTGATGCTGATTTGAACCATTACTGTATAGATTCATTCCATTAAAGTAGACAAGACTAAGTGTCTCTCTCACCATTCAATGGATTTCTTTTGAGAATCCAATGTAAGCTATAGATCCTTATCCCAGAAAATTTTCCATAAATATGGAAAGGGATAAGTTTACATATAATTTCAGATGCTGAAGTCTTTGAATCTTTCTTGAAGAACCTCACAGTGGGCCCCAAGTCAGTTATATTGATCCATATTTTTCTGGAAAGTATGTGAAGCAAGAATAGGCAGTCACACAACACAGCAAGAATCATAGACTGTAGATGTCTCATCCATAACCTAGGGCCAAGCTCTTATTCATTTTTTAATTTTTTTCAGATTTATCCTGGAGTATTAACTCACTTATTTCATATCATCATGGTTGTTGATTATCTTTTTCAAAATATGAATTGCTTTGTGGAAAAACTGTGTGTTGTTAAAATCTTTTAATCTTCATTACAGGATAAACCAATTCTTGCTCCTGAACCACTCATCATGGATAACCTAGACTCAATTATGGAGCAGCTAAATACTTGGAATTTTCCCATTTTTGATTTAGTGGAAAATATAGGAAGAAAATGTGGCCGAATTCTTAGTCAGGTAAGAAATACCATATGACTTTACAAAAAGATTAAACAAAACCTAGTTGCTGAAAGCTTTTGCTATTCATGACTCTGTCGGTATGCACTATACATGCAGTTACTCTCTCCTAGTTCAATGAGAAGAAAGTTTTGAACTAATAGTACTTAAACAAGATATCATGTCTGCATCTTGTACTATGAGTAACTACTATGAAGACAACAATATGCAATGTATTAATTATTATAACTGTCCTACTACCCTGTTTTGAATCTGTCTCATTGCTATTTATTTCTCAATACAATTAATATAAGAAAGAAAAAAAGGGAATTTCGGCATACAACATTCTGCATCGATCTGCTGGTGGCAGTGAATGAAGATACTGGAGCTCTGAGTAAATAGAGTACCACCTTTTCTTTCTCCACAGGATAAATAGTAAGATAGGTATAAATAAGTAAAATGGACAAATCAAGTAAAAATCATAGACCAAAGCCCAGCAAAAGCTGGTAAAAGCCCTACTCTAAGTGTCTGTTTACAGATAATTATTTTCTGCAATTAGTTCAGTGATATTTTTAACTTACTTTCTGTAATAAGTTCAATTTTTTTTTAACTTCTAAGTGTTACATTGCTTAAGCCTCATTAAAAACAATGTAGCACACAGAAATGTTTTGTTCCTGCCTTACTATGGGAACCACATCAAAAAGACTTTCTGTATCTGAAAAATCAGTGAGTCGTTCTGTTTTACGACAAACCTTTAGTAGTAGTCCCTTAAAATAAACTGTTATAGGGCCAGGGAGATAGCTCAGTAGAATAAGCTCTTGCCTGGCAAGCACAGGGTCCTGAGTTCAATCCCCAGTACTGCAAATAAATTAATTAATTAAGCAAACTGTTATCAAGGCTTCCCAAATAAAGAAATGTTTGGTTTGCTATAGGAGAAAGAAAACATAGAAATTAAGAATTTGCACATTCTATCAAAAAAAAAAGAAAGAAAACAGAATGATGAATTTGCTACACTATCAAGTACTATCAAGATATGAACAATGAAAGTGTGTGGCACAATAGAATACCAGATTATTTTAATATACAAATATGTATACATTTCAACAGTCCAGATGCTAAAGACTATCAAACTTGGTAATGACATCCTAGGAAGAGGCCCTAGATAGTGCCACATAATCTAGCAGTGGTCCAGGAAGTTTGTTTTTTTAATCTCTTTTAGTGAAAATTATGTTCCTAGACAGAAAAGAGTTTTATAGACTCTAATTTTCACAGTAACTTTGGTACAGGTATTTTCAAAAGTACATTTTACAAAAAAAAATAAATAAATAAACTAAAGCTGGAAAGAGAGGATCTGTTTTTCTTTTAAAGTTGTGTAGGGAATATTAAAACCAGTACTCAACTGTATATGTATCCATATTGGAAACTCAGGCTTTAACCTTCAAGTGCTTTTTAGAAACCCATAAAATACACTTACATGTGTTATCTTCAAAGTCTCCAAGTGGGGAGTCCGATCAAGTAGAAAATGGTTATTGCAGCAGTTAGCTTTATCTTGTTTGTGACGGGGCACCAGCGTGATTGCAGGTATGCAGGTGCCCTTGAAAGTTTCAGGCATTGGATGTTCACACTTGGTCAGCACTGCCAGATGATCCTTCCTTCTCTCACGTCCCTCTCCTCCATGGGTTTAAACCCACGGCCTTATGGTTGTCAGCCAAGACTGTGCCACAGAGCTGCACCCTCAGCTGCCCAGAATGTTCCTCAAGAGCCACAGAACACCAGCAGTGATTAGAAAGATTAGGGCTAGACAGCAATTAGATTTTGACCAAATTCATTGGTACATCCCTTGTACCTCAGTGGAGAAGTAATACATTTCTGCTTATTCTCTATTTGTCACTATTTACTTTCCCAATTTGCAAAACACTGAACTCTGAGAAAATACAGCTTCATTTGCCTTGCTAAGTAGAACTTTCTGAATTTTTTTCTTTTGATTGGGGTTCATAAGTATGAAAATCATAGAACTTTGATTGTGAGACTTTGGGACAGCTGAAATGAATTGGCGCAGGCATTCTAAGAAATCACCTTTTGGCTGAGACTACACAGAAATTCTCACTTCAAAAGACTGGTACAGAGACTTGTGCAGTGGAAATGACTTCTGGCCTTCATGTACTGCTTGCTTTTGATGATGATTATGCTTATTTTGACAAACTTAAAGGGACATTCTTCAGATTCGAAATAGTGTTGACTCTTTTCAGTTGCCATTATTTATCCAGTTAATAATTTTTTCTTTATGAGTTTGGAATTGCCATATGTTAAGTGACATGTGGTTGACTTTAACAGCTTCTTGATGAAAATTCTCTCGTTTTCTCTCTTTTTTAAAAAAATTCACCTGGAGCTGGGGAGATACCTCAGCATCATAAGTGCTTGCTTGGCAAGTGCAAGGACCTGAGCTCAATCTCTGATACCAGAAAAAATAAAAATAAAAATAAAATAAAAATAAAATAAAACTCACCTGTTGCTTTTTCCATTTTTTTAAATGTGGCTAGGAGGGCTTAACATATATAAAATTAAATGTGTAGCTCACATTGTATTTTTTATTATTAAGTTTATTGGTATAATTTAGTTATATACAATGATCATATTCATATGGGGAATTGGTACTTGTACATCTTTTTTAAGCTTATTACTATGCTATATTTTGGGGCATTTTTATTTTAAAGAGAATGAAAAAAAAACATTAAAAAGATACAAAATTTCAAAACAAGATGATAAGAAATCAACAATGGTTGTTACATTGCATGCTGTTGTCTTCAAAGTAGTTGTTCGGATTACCAGATATAGGCATGCAAAATTGGTTAAAAACTCAAGTATTAACTTGCTTTCAATAAACCAATAAAAATTAGTACATCTATTGCCATTTGTCTGTGTATATTTTCCTCTTCCTTCTTTCTTTGCTCCTTTTCCTCATCCCAGTTATTCTTCCCTTTTGAGTAATTTCTTTCCCTTTCACAATATCTACTGTATTTCTTAGATTTTATTTACACTTTCAGGTGCTTACACTAGGGTGACAGTATGATGTTTACATATATGAACCTGAATTATTTTCACTTATCAGTGTCATTTCTAGTTGCATCTATGTATGAAAGCATCGAGTTTATCTTTCTTTATAGCTGGGTAATAATTATATCTTGACTCCTGTCTTATTCTTCCCGATGTCATCTCCTCCCTTTAGTCCCTCTTCCCTTACTCTTTTTTTTTTTTTTTTTTGTGTGTGTGTGTGTGTGTTGAGGGGGTGCCCCTTAGGTTGCCTTCAGGGCAAGTCTAGTTTGGCTTGAGGATGAGGGGATCAAACCATAGCATCCTAAGCCTGACTGCTTTGTTTCAGCAGCACTTAAACACCTGAGCTAATGGGTAGGCCCCCTTCCCTTCCTTTTTTACAATGCTTTGTTTTCATTGCTTCCTTCTTTTATCATTTCTCCTTTCCTTACTCCCCCAGCTCTTTAGTTCTCCTTTCTTTTTGAATGATGCCTTGATATTTTTTAATATCTATCATAGATTTTGGTCCTTATTTACACTTTTGGTTTCTCACGCCATGGGAACAATGCAACATTTACACATGTGTGACACCTTTATTTTACTTAAGAGTATGGGCTCAAGGTGCATCCATTTACATAAAAGGGTCTCAAATTTATCCTTCTTTATGGTTGATTAGTGTTCTACAGTATTAAAAAAAAACCCTACATCTTTTTTATTCCTTGGTTGATGGGTATTTAGGTTGTTTCCAAGATTTAGCTATTACAACTTGTGCTACTAAAACTTGGGTGCACATATGTTACCGTGGTATGATGTTTTTAATTCTCCTGGGAAGACACCCAGAAAAGGAATAGCTGGGTCAAATGAGACCTCTAATTCTAGTTTTTTGCAAAATCCCCACATTAATTGCGTTAGTTTACACTCCAACCAACAATGGAGACAGGTTTTTTTTTTTTTTCTTTTTTTCAGCATTTGATATTGGTTGATTTCTTGATGATAACCATTTTTTTTTTCTTACGTACAGTGAAATCTCAGCGTTGTTTTAATTTGTATCTCTGGAATGACCATTGATGTTAAACCCTTTTTATGAATTTGTTTGTCATTTGTGTGTCTTCTCCTGAGACATGCATATTCATTTCAGGTGCCCATTTTTTGGGTTGGGTCTTTGAGGGATCAGATCTTCTTTCCATTCTTTATAGGTCCTGTTTTCATATCAAACTCTAACATATTCTATTTTAATTTTTAAATTCATAGTTGAAACATTTTCAACAGATGTGTAGGCACAATTTAGTTATGTACAATTCTAACCATACTGATTGCTCAATAAAGGCAGCAGGACCTAATGCAGTTGAGAGTTAAAAAATGTGAAAATAAATGCATAGTTTGAATTCTAACTCTAATAAGTATCAGCAGTATTAATTTAGACACTCAACCACTCTTTACCTTACTTTCCTCTATTTTCAGATATTAGTAATTGACATTACCTCTCTCATACAGTGCTATGAAGATTAATTATATGCAATAATTATTTAGCATAAGCTTCTTAGAAAAAGCATCACATTTAATTCTCTGTCTGTAGGTACATCAGATCCTCCTACAGTGTCTCTGTGATTACTGAAGGAACCTGAAAAGACAGATCCCTTAAGTGTTTATTAATGTGAACTTACATATTACCTAAAGCAATAATAAAGAGGAGATAACTAAAAGAAGAAATAGCTTGAAATGCTATGACAGAAACCACAGGCTTTCTATTGCATTTTTATGCTCACTATTTTTTTTTTTTGTTTTGATTTTTTTGTTTGTTTGTTTTTTGGTGGAACCAGGGATTGAACTCAGGGCCTTGCGCTTGCCAGGGAAGCGCTTATTCCACTGAGCCATCTCCCCGGACCCTTCTATTGCATTTTTAAATAGAGGAGATAGAGACAGAAAATTATACAGAGAATGGAAAAACTTCCATATCTGTGTATTGCCAGAGAAGAAAAGTAAATCAAAGTTGAGATAAAGGTACTTTATAATTTGTTTCTCAAATCTCAGCCAGGCTATCCCTTTTAAAATTAAGACAAAGCCTTTTTTTTTTTTTTTTGCTCTGGGATTTCTGGTAGATGACCACCTGACCAGAGGAATGGTATCATCAGGTTGATGTTGTTCTCAGACCCAGGACTTCTTCCGGTTGACCCATGGGGTGCACAGCTTTCCTCTTACCTTCATTCTCTCTGTGTCGCCCACATCAGCCGCTTCTCCCTGCCTCCTTTTCCTACCACTTCCTCATTTTCTCCTTCATTTATGTCAAAAATTCCATTTCTTTCCAAATTTATGGATTGGTCATCAGAACTGTAAAGAGTTATAGGGGCCAGGGAGCTGGCTAGAATAAGCGCTTCCCTGGCAAGTGCAAGGGTCTGAGTTCAATTCCCAGTTTTGCAAAAAAAAAAAAAAGAAAAGAAAAGAATTGTATAGAATATAGATATCTGGAGTAGAAAGAGATCCAATGCATGAGCGAATAAATAGACTTTATTATTTCTACTGGAATCAGATCTTTTTCTTTATCTTTTAGAATAGCTGTTTTCCTCTCCTGCAGTTTTCCCTCTTGTCACCACTACGGCACAACTCTGAAGCCATTACTCTTTTTTTTTTTT